CGGGTTTTTTTTTTTTTTTTTTTTCATCTCCTATTTATTTTGACAGCCGTCCAGAAACTATCTTGTCTGAGGTCGGTTAGGTAGGTGCGCCGCCGCCGGTCTCCCACATTCTCTCGGGGACCCGACGACAACAATTAATTATTGTGTGTTCGCGCGTAGACGACCGGATATTTATTTTTTTTCTCCCGAGTATTTTTTAATAATACTACACGTATTTATTTATATATATATATACTAGTACACGCACGTGAATGCACACATTTAATATAACGTGTGCAATGCAATTTCTAGAATAGAAAATGTAAATGATATAATTGTTTCGATCCCGTATTTTATGGTACCCGGCTATAGTAGGATTGCGGCAAGATAACAATATTATGCGTAACATGCGTGTTCCCCCGCGATCGCACTGTTATTCGTACACGGCTTTCTGTTTTAAAAATTTAAAAATGTTTCTGTTTGTATTCTAGGCGAAAAAACCGTAAGTGTTTTGTAACAGAAAAAAATAGCCTTAAAGTAATGCTCGAATCGTGCTGAACGCTGCGAATCTAACTGCTTGAAAAACAGTAGTGTTTTTCTAGTGGACCGCGTTAGATATTTTCGGGTTTTCATTTGTACCTCGACTTTAAACGATTACATCACGCCCAATTTTTAATTTTTTTACTACTAATTACAGCGCATAAAAAAACGTTGTGTTAATTTGTCGAGCATTTTCGCTGTGCCAAAATAATTTTTTTTTTAACACGCAAAACCTTAACGAAAAATTGTACAAAGTCTGAAAAGAGTTACATAATATAAATGAGTATGTATATACATAAGTATTTGATGACATTTCCGACTTCTACGATTTTTTTTTCAATGAATAAAAAAAAAAAAAAAAAAAATTGAAAAATCGTATATAACATGCGGAAAGCGTTATTATGTTAATGTTACGGTTTTTCTCCGCAATTAAATATACTACGATTACAAACCAATGACCTCATAGCGCCGACAAGACGAAATTGTCCATTAGAAGGTTATGTTGAGTTCAATACCTGTAAAGGGTTCTAATTTGTTTTAAGTCTTACGGTCTCCTACTATTTTTCCAATTCGAGCGCAGCCGTTGGTTTACTTTTTCTCGTTTAAAACAAAACCCACCGGTAATACAAATACAGGGAATTACGGATTGTTCAGTACCTTGGTAAACGGGTTCTATGATAATATAACTGTAGATACGGTTATTTGCTTTCAATTTCGATACAAGCGAATAAAAATCGGTGACCATTGCAACGCATCGTCAATGTGTTTGTTACACACACATATCGTTTAGATTCTGCGCGAAACGAGAACGGTATCGGTTGTTTATTATTATGATTATGATTTTTTTTTTTATCTGCGAACAATTGTTCTGCTTATTTCGATTTCTAACGGATCAAACCGTATTGTCGCGGGAGGATGGTTTTTTATTTTTAATAATCGTACACGCCGACAGACCCTCTCCCCCCCCCCTGAATGATGTCGGCGGAACGGCCTGTTGAGGGTTTCAACTTTAGACCGCGGCAGTTTTTACACCCGGAATCGCGCGTTATCGCAAGTAATGCCGGGTTTCAAATACCGAAACGCGCGACAAAACTCTGGCGATCGCAATTATTCGAGATCGATTACGTCCGCAGCATCGGATCTCCCTAGTCGAGGTCTCGACAATTGGATTCGACAGTCTCGGATTATTTTACAGACGACTGCACCGACTGCACCGCGTAATCGTGACAGACCATCGTAATATGTATTTAAATAAACGCCGTCGCGGCCGCAGCACGCTTACCGCGACTGTGATACGCGTACTGAACGAACATAACATGTTATGACCTCCGACGGCGCGCGGCGATCGTGTCGAAAATAAAAAACGATACGGTATTTAAAACGACCGCGGCCGACGTTTGAATCGAAAACGGTAAAATGTCGTGTTTGACGCCACGCGAAAACAATTTAGTTGCACGTGAATAAATCCGTAGGCGCGCGCGGGATGTTTTCGCGGGCCGTGACGTCGAGAAAACGAGCCGTTATCCATTAGGTGAGCTCACCGTTCCTGCCGCCGGCCCCGCGACGAGCGCATAAGATAGCGAATGCGAAATACCGACTCTTCTAAAAACCGTATCAACCGTTTTGCCGACACGCGATTGTTTTACGGGAACGTGTGGATAACCGTGGGGAAATAAAAAAAAAACAACGAACCCGATATTGCCGTACGATCTGTTAAAAATGTGTTAAAAGCGTCGAAATATCATCGCGAGTTTATATTGCGACAAACCTCGTACGCCGCGTTGTGATAACTGCAGCGAACGAGGTATTTTCGAAGAACGCGATTCGCGAAAGAAACGCGGGCGGGCGCGTCGGTCAACGAGCGCCCGGGCGTTCCAGAAACGTAACGGAAACGATTATGTTTTTTTTTTCCGGGACAAAAGTCCCGAGGAGGGACTTTGGGCCGCGGAAATTCGATAATTTTCGCAACGAACCCCCGAGGACACTCAGCGACGGGTGACCGCGGTCCGTCCGGTCCGCCGGTTTAGTCGGACAAAGCCCGGGACGGCCGCGTTTCGCCGTCGGCCCGCCGTGCGCGCGGCCCGCGTTCTTCGTAACGCCGTTCGCTGCGTGTGCCGACCGCACGACGGTCGCGCGTGGAGAAACGCGACCCAAGACCGTCGGACGGGCCGTGGCGCATTGTTCCCCGGTCCCGTTCCCGGGCGACGGCCGGTCGTGCGCGCCCGGCGGTTCCGAACGGTGACGGCTGTCGCTGTCCCGAGCGCCGGCACAACGCGGCCGCGCGGGTTGCCGGCGCGATATCGCGGCCGCGGTCAAGTCCGGCCGGCGAGCCGATAATCCGCGACACTCGAATCGAGTATCATTCGTCTCGTTCGGCGGCAATGCGATTGTCGACGACGGCGATAATATTGCGTCCGCGCGATTGTCGCCGTCGCCGTTTTACACGCGCGCGATGTTGACGCGAAAACG